CCACTTGGTTTTTCGAGTGCAACAATTCGTTTATTAAAAAACCGATGCTCATGCGTGCAAGTGACCCCTCTGTACTTATCACACGGCTATAAGGCCAGGGTTCAAAACTGTATCCCAGTCCAGCAACGAGCAGCACATTCTAAACAAAGATATCTAAAGATTCATGCAGAGTCTACATCGAGTACGCCAAACCGATCGGGCAAGTGAAAGAAATGCTCAGGACTTTGAAACTTGTGATAAACAGCTTGATGGCTGTCTTATAACGTTAAGCCTTATGGTTAAGCTGACTCGTCCCCAGTCGTCTCTCAGTCTTCTATTAATATTAACGAGGGAAGCGCGGCTAGGGGAAGCGCGAAGGGTGATGGGTAGGAGGAAAGAGTTCCCCTTTTACCTTCCCATCGTTCCCTTCGCACCAGGTGTCCTTATAGTCTTCCGTGACCGCAAATAATAAGAGACGACTGGGGACGAGTAGGATGGTTAAATATATGGCGGGAAAACTGACATTGGCTCCCAACAAGCAGTTTTATTTTTCCATTTACTTCTCAGTGTAAATCGTAACTAATGCACTGAACATCATGACTTTCACATAAATAGCGTAGTTGTATTTACATTATACTGGATTATGGGCTTTTGAAAATTCCCTGTCTGAGGGTAACAAATGCGTTTTAAGAATATGTATGGAGATCAGTTTGGAGAATTTGTATGTGGATACTAGGGCTTAAAGAGTTAAAATGAAACTTCTTTGACCAAAGTGTTGCATGATAAAATTTCAGAAAGTAAATTGTGTTAAGGTGTTAAGGGAAAGGAAACTTCGAATAGTACTCATTATAGTTTACTTCAGACGAGTAAACCTTTTTTTTAACAAAATTCATCGTATTTGCAATCCTTGTGTTTGGTTATTCTTTTCAAGTCTCTTGCCTTGGGAATTCATTCATGTAAAACTTCGCAAAGTAGTACTTTCAAAATCAGGCTTAGTGGTGATATTTGCTCGATTTGCTCGTCTGAAGTAAACATGTGATGGGGACTTAAACAATGAAACAGGACATCTTCATCTCAAGCAATCCAAGGTTAGTTAGGTTTTATCTTTTCATAAGTAATTCGTGTTTATCAGAAATAACACAAGAAAGTTCCAGACTCTTTTGAAGACAAACTTACGCCCAACTTTCTATGGATGCATGCACCTTTTTTATACTGCTCAGTTGAAGTTTGTTAGGAGAAACATTTCTTGCATTTTATTATATGTCCGCTCCATACGTGTTGTATCAAGAACTTCGTTTAAATTGCCTCGCATTCTGTTTCTCAACTGACAAGGAACGTTGCGAGGGATTCTCTAAGAATTGAATTTTTTAATGTAGTTTTCAGTTTCGTGTTTATAACATTCTTCGAAAATACAAATTTAAAATTCCGTGTTCATCTGCGCAACGGTGCGCAGGATTTTGCGAAGGGGTTTCATAATAAACTAATAGCCTGCGAGCAAGCTCTCCAACTATAGTTGACGACGGCGCGCACAAATCAAACAACTGGCTTGACATATGGTAGAGCGGCAAATTGAGCACGGGAAGTCGGGTTTAGTCCTTTCTGCGCGCTTTCCCGTCGTCAACTGACGTTCCCGTCCTGTTGGTAAATCAGCCTATTATGGGGAACGCAGCGTTTGTTACTTACAAGCGCCATTGCGAGCGAGGTGAGTCTTCGGAACGCACCCGAGTCTCTCTCGAGTCTCTGGCGTAATTGCCATTATTAGTGAGTTTACGCAACAGGACGGTAGGAAGAAGAGGACGGCAAAACGCTTGTGTGTGACAAACGTGACAGGGCTGTTACTTTCGTGTTTTGTGGTGATCTTCACTTAACAGTAATGTTTTCTGGTCTTTACAAAAAGATCCGTTTAATGGCGAAATGTTATTTCAAACAAAATTTTGGTCACGCTTGTCACATAAGGTTTGCCATCTTCGTTCCTCTCCCGTCTTGTTGCGTAAGTTCACTATGAACAAAATGAACCAGGCGGTCGTGACACAGCCTCTTTAAAAGCAGCAAAAAGGTAGCTCTGTTAATCACAATAGATTTTTCAACTAGTAAGTAGGTAGATCCCTTAAGTATTCATTTTATTATACAGCAACATGTTTATCAGATAAAAATTAAGCAGATTTGCGTGGAGCCACTTAGTTCGGCTCCGTCATAGATCATGTGACTCTGCTCAAAACATTATTCAGAAATATCGAAACTAGAGTGAATCAAACGACATTTTGATCTTGCATTATCTATTTTGTTCAAAATCAAATGTAGGTGCTTTTATACTTGAATGGCCAACTCTGTATACAGGATAAACGGTGAAACATCGCTATTATAAAAGGTTTTAGTTCTCTGTCAAATCCAATTAAGTTAAATGTTTATGAAAATTAGAGCATAATTGATGAAATTGGATGAATAAAGGATATTAGCGTAATGTTTTTTTCTTGCCAGTTTCTTACCTTGTAACTGAAAAACAAGTGTACCACTTGGTTTTTCGAGTGCAACAATTCGTTTATTAAAAAACCGATGCTCATGCGTGCAAGTGACCCCTCTGTACTTATCACACGGCTATAAGGCCAGGGTTCAAAACTGTATCCCAGTCCAGCAACGAGCAGCACATTCTAAACAAAGATATCTAAAGATTCATGCAGAGTCTACATCGAGTACGCCAAACCGATCGGGCAAGTGAAAGAAATGCTCAGGACTTTGAAACTTGTGATAAACAGCTTGATGGCTGTCTTATAACGTTAAGCCTTATGGTTAAGCTGACTCGTCCCCAGTCGTCTCTCAGTCTTCTATTAATATTAACGAGGGAAGCGCGGCTAGGGGAAGCGCGAAGGGTGATGGGTAGGAGGAAAGAGTTCCCCTTTTACCTTCCCATCGTTCCCTTCGCACCAGGTGTCCTTATAGTCTTCCGTGACCGCAAATAATAAGAGACGACTGGGGACGAGTAGGGTGGTTAAATATATGGCGGGAAAACTGACATTGGCTCCCAACAAGCAGTTTTATTTTTCCATTTACTTCTCAGTGTAAATCGTAACTAATGCACTGAACATCATGACTTTCACATAAATAGCGTAGTTGTATTTACATTATACTGGATTATGGGCTTTTGAAAATTCCCTGTCTGAGGGTAACAAATGCGTTTACAGTGTATGAATATGATCATTGTAACCTTGGGTATAAAAATGGTAAATATGTTGGCTATAATATGCTTCTATGGCTCAGCCGCTTTTGGTTCAAAGACTATTTTCTCATTACCAAACCACTAAAGGCCAAGTAAGAGATATGAACAAAAAAACCTTGTTCGTTATAAATTCGTTTCTAGAAGTGGTAACCAATTTTACCTCTATTTTTGCCACAAATACGTTAAATACTTTGGATAAATATCAAATTTGGCGCGTGGTTAAATGATGTCAGATACTGATAAGACGGAAACTAACTTCCCTAAACACCTTGCACTTACCAAACTCAAAACGTTTCAGAAGGAGCTTATAACTTTCGATAAATTGGAGGTTATTTTTCTTGGGTGATCTGGACGTTTGCGCCACAGTTACGTTGTTCTTTGAGTCGCATAAGTAAGCACTGGTTGTGAATTATAAAGCTACGGTTTGTATGGGAATTCAATACTGAATTCAACCCTTGCTTTCACTCCCATTTTGCAATTACCATCGCAGAACTAGAAATTTGCGTGAAATATTTGCCGTATATTAAAGGACGGGGAAACATTTTCCGATGTTGGCCCAACATCGGGGGACTGACTAGTGACTTGCAGTGGGGGCCTTAAAGAGAGACTCTTCTGAGTAAGTCTGTTTTCACGAAGAAGTGGAAGGTGGCAACCCCTTACCGACCCTTGCCACCGTCCTCCCCTGAAACTATGCAGTGAATCCTCGTGTTGACCTACTCATGAATCTAAGTTTAAATTCAAGGTTTAACAGATTTAAACTGTTTTTTGTTCTACTTCTGCTTGTTCGAATACGCGCTCAATTTCTTCTTTGAACTTTCGGTGTATTTGGACTCTTTTTGCTTTAAGCGTCGGCGTGAGAAGTCCGTTCTCGATGCTAAACATCTCTGGATGGAGGTGGATCCTCTTTACCTAAAAGATTGACATATTCGTAAATAGTGTATTAATTGTCAGAGATTGATGTAGCTGTAGAATAACCTATAAATATGGCTTTATTTGGGAAACGTGAATTCATAAAAACCAGGACAACATCTTGACCGAACAAGCTTGGTCAATAAAGGATTTATTACATGGTCTTGCACCTATCAGAACATAGCATTCGCTTTATCTTATCCTCTGACAAAAACCAACCTTACAGAGAGGCCTAGCAGAATGCAGTCTGAAGAAGTTCGAGTGCATTCTACACCAAGCGCTTGCGTTTATCTCCGGTGAATCTCGAACAAGGCTAAGTAATTTCCGTTAAAAGGTGATAATTACTGAAAAAAGCACTTTATTTAGCGCGAAAGTACTAATTGGGGACACTAGTTTTACGTTTCCTAATGGAGACGGGACCGCCATTTTACGTGGTCATCCGAGCCACGCGAAGGTCTACCCGTTTCCAGGGCAACGGCGGAACCTTCATTTCTCAGTCATTTTAAGACCCTGAGTGTTGGTCCGGTCCCGGGAATCGAACCCGCGACCTCCCGCTCTGCAGTCAAGCGCTCTACCGACTGAGCTAAACTTGCCGCGCTAAACTAACAACCGGGTCAACAGTAGTACTTTATATGCCAAATAGTGAAGTAAAACCTTCCTAGAAACTGAAACCTCAAAAATCAAAATACACTTTTTACATAAAGTTGTAGTTACTCTAGAATGGTCCATGGTTGATAAAGAAGTTATTATAGTTCATTAACTCGAACCAATCAGCCAATGAGCGTGGAAGCAGTATCGCATATCAATAACGTCCACGAGAAAGACCGGTTAACTTTGTGAAATAGTTTTTTGTTTGTGTTTTCTGTTAAGTAAAATCGTTGAAAGTCTAGTAACTGAATCACCCAGAGATTTGTACCTGTTCTAGAGAGTTCAGTCCACCCTCTCGGCCTTTGTCCAGCATGTCTTGGAATATAGTCTGATACACAGTCTGGAAACGAGGAAATTGGGAATTTTAGATGCCACGACGGCGACGGCAACGAGAACGTCAAAAAAGCAATAGGTTAAAAAGGCAAAAGAGCATCTCTGCACGTGCATTACGCTTTTTTGTGTTTTCTTTGCCGTCGCTGCTCGACTATGACGTGAAAACCCTTATTTCACGTTTTATCGTGAAACGTAAACAAGTGACGACGAAATTTTCTTTCTCTCTCTGAACTTGGGTATAGTCGTGAGGAACTCGGCTCCAGAAGAGTTCGCATGCATTTGACAAAGCGAAATGACATAATCGCGATAGAGATTGAAAGAACTTGGATTCATTTTTTAAGCAACATTTTCGTGGCCGTCGCCGTCGTGGTATCTTAAACCTCTAATTTATATGTAGAGCGAAGTTCGGAAACAAAAAAATTCTCGTATCAATTTTTAACCTCTGTAATTTTTTTTTCATAAAAATTGGGTTAGCTGATGTCAGAAATATGGCCCCATGTAAGGGATCCCGAAATCCGGAAAAATTTTGCTCGTGGAGTCGGGAATCCTAGCGTTTAGAATCCGGAACTTTCACGGAGGGCAACCGAAATTCTGCGGGGAGAGGGGATCCAAAGGACGCAATTTACGTGGGAGTAGGAGGTGGCTTCTTGAGGTCTTTAGAGAAGTCAGTATTGTTCAAGAAGAAGTGTTTTACCTTATTTTCACAAAGCTGTTTAATGTCTCCTTCAATGCCACTATTTCGGGCCCAGGGCTCCAGGACTTCTGCGTCCGGGACAACAATTGCCACGATGAAAGACTGGGAAGAGAATTAAAGTTGTTTATTTATTTTTATTTTTATTTTTTTTTTAATACCCAGTGATATGTCTTTAGCCCTTAGATCCCTTCATAGCGAGATAATTTTTTAAAAAAATGCGACATCTATGTCGTACCTATTCACTAACAGTTTGGCCAGCTTCCTCGCCATTTTCTTAGCATGCCTGTAAGTGAAATATTTTGGCATGTGCGACACGTCGAAAGAGCAATGGCTGGCTGGGGTTGGGAAAGAGAGCGAAAGAATACTCCTCTCTCTCCCTCCCCCTCTCCTCTGCCTTTAGAAGCCCCGCCGATATTGACCAACATTAATTTTCTCATAACAATAGCCATATGTTACCAATAGAAATGGTTATAAGAGTTAATAAAATGATCACTGAAGAGAAAATGGATCGATCTGTTAACAAACTCTCTCAACTAACTCTTGAAGGAAATGTATGAAGATCAGTATGGAGAATTTATATGTGGATATTGGGGCTTTAAGGGGTAAGCCCATCTAGTCTGAATTGTCAGCCGTCTTCACCCCCTAGCCCCACAGGTTAGGGGTGGGGTTAGTAGACATTTCAGACTACAGTGTTCTTACCTTCAAACTGTTTCCAACAACAAATACCTGCGCAATAAACAGACTGCGCAGATACACGTTCTGGATTTTTTCAGGAGCGATGTACTCTCCCTAGAAAAAACGAAAATCGAAAGTTTAGAATGATAACAGAATGGAATTTTTTTTAAAAAATCAAAATATAGAAGTGGTATTGAAATGTGCAGCTAAGCACAAACTTGCCTGAGAAAGTTTGAATATATTCTTCTTGCGATCAATTATTCGTAAAGTTCCATTCTGAAAGAGCAAACGCACAAACAAGTTCTGGTTTCAAAGCTGTCTGTGTTTCACATGTACTACCTTGCACACATACTTTTTTTTTTCAATCTAAATAAAAAAAGATGGCCTTAAATGATTTAAAAGTATTGGTCAGGATAATTGTTTTGGTTTAGCTTTATTACTAGTGTATAAAATATGTGAACAAGATGATAACAATAATAATAATAATGGTAATGGTAATAGTAATATCAACAACAACAACAATAATAATAATAATAATAATACGATTTCATATTTTGTTCAAACGGTAAGAAATGGGCCTATACTTTTATGTCAGCATCACGTAAACAATAGCTTCCATCAAATATTCGATGGTTTGCCAACCAATGTCGTTTTGCATCAATACAGAATGCACGGTCAGCTTTTTTCACTCCTACTCGTTTGGATGTACAAATAAATTACCGGAAGCCATTCTCCTATGTCACCAGTGTGAAGCCAGCCATCCTTATCAATAGTTTCAGCCGTCTTTGCCGGATCCTTAAGGTAGCCTTTAAAAACGTTTGGTCCTTTCACGCAAACCTGAATATAGAAGATGGAGTTCAGATGTAGTAAAGAATCAAGCTCTAGAAAAAGAGGAGCTGCTAAGCCTGGATCAGAAAACTGGTCAGAATGAAATGGTTTCTCGCCCCTTGTTAGAAAATCCGGATCCTGGAAATTTTCGCTTTTGGAATCCCTAATCCGAGAAATCTAAGTAGTGGAATTCGGAATCATCCTCTGCTTTGGAATCCGGAATACAGCTCAAGGATTCCGGAATCCCACTAACGATTTGAATTCGGAATCCAAGTTCCACTGACAAAATATCCGGAATCCAGAAACCAAGACTGTCTTGGATTCCCTTACATGGCGGGGCGAAAGAGAGGAGAATCCGGCGCGAAAGGCAGTGGAGAAAAACGTTCAAACAGTTTTAAACTAAGGTGAGATGGATGTTATCTTACCTCGCCCTGATTATTTTTGGCAAAATATTCCATTTCCTCCACGTCGACGAGTTTTACGATGTTGCAAGGAATTGGAGGTCCAACATGACCCTCTGTTAAGGAGTAAACGATGACCATTAATCGCTTGTTCCAAAAGACACTCAAAGATTTCGAGCACTCCGGAAAAGAATCTTTCCAGTCTTTGATAGGAGTTATATATACTTTATTTCTGTGTTTTCAATATTTTTTTTGCATGAAGTTTTCACTTACCTGCCATGGGATCATTATAGAGCTGAAAGGTTACTGCGCATGTGGCCTCAGTTTGACCGTATCCTTCTGCCAGCTGTCAAAATGAAATACGAATCTCTTATTAGAAGGACGAAAACAAAGTTGGCAACAGACAAGAGCAAATTGGTAGTCGCCCAATGTAAGGGATTCCGGAATCGGGGAAGTTTTTTGCCTGTGAAATCCAGAATCCAGGAAATTTTGTTCGTTGAATCCGAAATCCTAGGCTTTGGAATCCGGAGAACAGCTGTAGTAATGCGACTCCCACTAAAGATTGGAATCAGGAATCCATGTTCCACAAACAGAGCTCCGGAAGCCAGTACCTTGAATCCGAAATCCAACGTGTGGAATCCAGAATCCAAGACTGCCTTGGACCCATTTCATTGGGCGGTGGTAGCGTTATGAGCTTGTTAATGTATACATGTTTAATCTCTGACGTCAACAAGGCGTGATTATGAAGTCATATGTTTTAGCACATGAGCAAAACTATGATGTGCCCGTCAAGTGTAACTCACCTGACATCCCATAACGCATCTGATGAATGACGTCACCTTAGCAGACAAGGGTGCCGAACCACACGGTATATAGCGAACTCGGCCACCAAGAAGATTCTGTGAATTGAACATTTCATCGTTGTAATTAATTCAGAGGTTATAATTTATTCAAGGGGAAAAATCCCAGAAAAATATATATTTACAGCACACGCCAGAAAATCTGAATATCAGCCAACTTCTTCGCCCGCTTTTGGAATCCTGACCCTGAGAAAATTTTGCTTATAGTATCCGAAATTCCGAAATCCTTTCCGGAATACAGCTCAAGGAATCCGGAATCCAACTAAGGATTGGAATCCAGAATCCAAGTTCCACTGACAAAGACTGGAATCAAGTAGCTGGAATCCGGAATCCACGGCGTGGGATCCAGAATCGAAGACTGTCTTGGATTCCGTTGCACTCATTGGGACGAAACTTCTACAGCCGATAAAAGTACGTGGTTTAATCGGAATTAAGGTCTGTACCCCTCGAGTCTAGACTGCTACGTCAAAGTGATCGACACGTAACATACCTGGATTTTGCGGAAGACTATCACATCCCACATTGTGTCTTTGCTTATGATTCCCCTAAACAACAACAAACAACAAAGTGGGTCAATTTTAGCTTCCTAAACAAGTTATATTTGAGGGCGGGTTATTCGAATTATCATTTCAACTAAATCTCTTTAAAAGTTACCTTTTTAGATCGTTTTCTTTTGAGTTCAGCGCCGTTTGAAGAAGCCATTGCTTGAGTTTGCTATTTGCTACTCCAGAAGTCACCTTATCAGTAGTTAAATATAGAATATGTTATTAAGTGAACTTGATAATAAATAGCAAAATTATCAAGCATGACTTAATCGATTAACGTCATGATATTGTGGCTGTTGATGAGTCTGAACAGTCTGTGAAAGGCGTAACAGCGTTAGCAACAAGATAAGAAACTGAAGAGATCGAGACTGCTGGGGAAATCATATTTAGGCTAACGTTTTTTCAATTACTTCAAGGAAATTGCTAGATGTTTACAGGGAATACGGTCGGACATTTATTTGGGCAAGAAAAAACGGCCTTGCAATCCAAAAACCACTCGGGACTTTTTACTTACTCTGTCGTAAATTCTGTTTAGTAAACGAGGAACGGCTGAGAAGATCGTTGGCCTGTTTAAAATAAGTCGAATATTAGTAAATCCAGGAATTTAATGCAAGTTTAGAATTCACGCATTTTTTATTTCTGATTCTCGGCTAAAAGGGTTACATGCTTTACTTACTGAAGCTCTTTGCAGTCTTCAAGAAGCCGTTTTATGTCTCCACTAAAGTATCCAATTCGCGCACCACTGAGCATTAAATGAAGCTGAAAGAAAGTCGTTAAAAACTTAAAAGAAAAAGCTAGTAATGAGACGAAACAATATTTTGCTTATCCCAGGCTATGCATAAACCGAAAAACGAAGGTGTACAGTTTACTTGTGAATCCATCCATTTTGAGGTGGATTCCGTGTAACGCTCATTGTCCTCACAGCCCAATACTAGCCATATGACGCTGGCGGAGCCGGGGGCGCTGGAAGGCCAGGAGCCCCTCCAAGTTTTCCAAGAAAGTGAAGACTTACTAAGAGGAGAGTACCAAATTTACGCCACTTATTAACTAATTATAATTTATTTATTTATTTACTAATGAACTTACATGATTTATCCGTTCGTACATGTGAGCTAGAGGCAAAAATGACAAATGTACATCCTCGGGGGTCAGTTCTGGAAATCCACTCTGAAATTAATAAGAAATGAATACATATGATTAGTCCACGCACTTGCAAAAGCTACAATTGAACATCTGTTATTCGTATTAAGGGGTCATCTGCCATTTAGAGGCCAGTTACCGAAGTGGCTAGTGGACAAAATTGTCACCTAAAATTGTAAGCAAAACCTCTAATTAGGACCAATTAAGCTTTATTGATCAGCAAGTTGTTCCATCCCCGTGTTTGAGCATAGAGGTTTGATTATATCTACCTATTTGTCGTAGAACAACTCTATGTGGACAAATACAGTTGCAAATGTTAAAAGCTACCCTAGTGATCCGCGTTGCCTGTAATTTCCAAGGCTGATAAACAAAACAGAGTCCTGATGAGGGAGCTATGATCGATAAAAACTTTTATATCAATTTATTAACAATAAGAATTCATTTTTGGTGGCTAAAGAGTTAACACTTGAGTATATTAAAAATACCTCCATAACCGTAAACGGTCGATTAAGAGCTTTGTATATACCACTCACTCGATCAAGGAGAGCTTTTCACAAGTTAGACCCCCTTCTTTGTTAAACGAGAAATCCGTACTTTAAAAAAGAAAGGTCTTAAAATCCCTAATCTGCTAGACCTTATGTTTCTTTTTAATGAACGGGAATGTAAGCATCAGGTTTTAAGCTACAATCCTCGCCAAAAATCATTGAAACACCTATGCACGTCCCTTTCCTTCTACAATGTTGAGATGTTATTGCAAAGTTATTTATACGTGGCTGAAACAAAATTGCAAAAAGGGAGGCGGAAAACGACAGGGAGCAGAATTTTCCAAAGTGTTTCAAGGTTTTGTCTGAGATTGTAGGTTCAGTCTACAGCCGTGGATGTCTCAGTGCACCCGCGGTACTCCCCAAGCGGGTACTGCGGGCGTATCGAGACATCCACTGCCGGAGACTGAGCATAGTCTTGAGCTCGAAGGCCTACTTTTATTAGTTCAATAGAAGCACTAAGTTTCTGTGCCTCCTTCCGTCTTTCCCAGACTGTACGTATGTAGGGCGTTGTTTCTGTTTGTGTTTTCAACCTTATTTGCAACTTACCTGTTGATAAATCCACCGATAGGCTGAGATGTCACTGACAAGGTTTGCATGGGTGAGGATTGCACCTTTTGGTGGTCCTATATTGATGATCATAATAAGCTTTGGTTAGTTCTGTGTACTGAAGACTAAAACCAAACGAAACTCAAAACCCATGTAAAAGGTTCATAATACTGAAACGAGAAAAAGGTATTTACCAGTTGTCCCACTTGTGTAGCATACTGTTAATATGTCCTCTGGTTTTGCTGGCTGTTTATAAACACACATTGGGATTCATGAATCGGTTTGATTTCTACATTTACCGTTTGCCTTATTACACTTAACCAAAAATACTGTCCGTTTGCTAAAGGGCAGTGATACTTCAAATTATCTAAATTACATTAAATCCATTCAGAATGTTCGTTCTAAATCTTGCATTCTGAGTTTTTGAAAACTACGGATTAACCTTTCCAAGCACATTGTTAACTTTCGTTGTCAACGAGGCACTGCAAAGATGCACCGTATTCTAGTGGGTACAAATCACAAATTTTTATCAATGGTATTTCTTTCGTTCAATTGAAAGAAGGCAATTTCATTTAACATACTTCACATCTAACGGCAATTGCTCTTATAGAGCGTGATCAAAAGCACTAGGTTCTCATGTTGAATCCCATCAGAAGCTGGCTTGACTACTCACAAACCATTTAAATTAAGACACTTACATACGACTGAAAAGTATACAATTAATTGTTAAGTACTCTTCTTTACTTTTTTTAAAACAAATTTAATATATAGTTCAAAACTCACATACATTTAGTTCACGAGGATTCTTCTCTCCTAATTCCTGTAAATTGACAAGAGAAAGGTGGGCTTACAGTTTGAATTGAATTGTGGTCATCAGACCCTGACTCCGAAGCCACGCCCAAAATTTAGCCCAAGAAGCATGGAAGTGTTTTCTCAAAGTTTAAAACAAGAAGCGAAATGAAGTGTATTTAGATTTGAGGGAACCAGGAACTATGATTCAGATTGATTCCTTGATTTTTTCATTATTGTTTTCTCTGTGGAAAATCGGAGCATAAAACTAGCCATGGTCAGCAAAACGAACTCTTATTGAGCGCTAAATGTGCTTGCATTTTCTCTTTAAATTTAATGCGGTTTTGAATACGTGTTTGCGAGATTTACCAAATCACTTCATCATGCTGCAACTTAGGGAATTTGATATATTACTTCGAATTAAACCCTGAGCTACATGCTCTTTGCCCAATGTTTTCCTAATGTCTTAGCAAATAAATATATTTCTATTTAATAAAGATCGATTAAGCCTAGAGCGAGTAACGGAGGCTTGTTGCTTAGGACTCGACCTACCTCTAAATCAGAAAAAGACATGATTTGGAGTCCCAGTCCCTTTGCTGTCGTGCTCTGCTCTTCCGTTACCTGGGTGCCAATCTTTATCAGATATTTTAGCCCCTTACAGGAATGTGCATGCTCCAAAAGCGAAGAAACTTTGTCTTCGTTGCAAATAATAGTTGAAATCTCGGCTGTAATGTAAACGTATAATCAAAGAATAAAGTTTTCAAGAAAATCATTGCTTTCAAGCCGCTTTGAGGTCATTATAATGTAGACTTGTTCCGACGTTCAAAGCGGACTCGTCGAAATGAATCAAAAAATCATCATATAAGTCAAATGTGTACAACTGTTTCACGTCCTAATTTCTCTCTTATTTCACGCAACCTCTCAAGGGGGTTTATAGTTTCCAGCGTTTGTTTTTTCGGTAAAAATGACTCTAATTCATTCTTTAGACGATAAATGTGCGTGTACCCAAGATTTTGCCTAAAGATAAAAAACCTCTGAATCCAGGAGCCTATCACCCTGGTGAATCTGAGTCTAAAGCTAAGAAGCAATGACAATAGCCTCCCAAAATACAGGTGCTCTCCAAAGAGAGAGAAAAAAAATGTAGGTAAAGTAAGTTGCAATACTTAAAACAGAAACATCTGCATCAGTTCTTTCTGTCCTTTAAAATAATCCCCCTTTTTATAAAGACGTAGACTGTTCTTAGCCCACAGACAGAACTAAACTTCGGTTTAAGTCTGACGGGCCCTCACCCGTGTACCAGGATTTGAGTACGCGCCATGAATGACCTGTTAAAAAAGTAATTTCAATGCCAGTCAATTTGAAAACAAATTCGAAACGCATTTCCAGTAACTAGTCGAGTCCGTTTGGCGCCTGCTGCGCAGGCTAAGAACTAAGATTCAGACGCTGCTTTGTAGACGTCACTAACCGGAGTTAGTTTGCGTCTGCAACGCAGGCTAGCCTGTTCCAGGTTCCAAGATAGTAGTGATTCGTGACTATGGCACGAAAACTGATAGAAAGTAAGAAACGTGCGCAGGGGGAATTTTCGTAGTAATAATCACCATCACTGCACATAACTGTCTTGGAGCCTGGGAAAGGCCAACTGAATTTAGGATGGTCACTGAAAGTAACATAGCGTACTCATATATAGTTTCAGAGGGAGGAAGATGCCGGGAGATTAAAATTGACGGGCTTATCCTCACCGGGGATGGCACCAACTACTACATATACGTCAGGACTCCCGGCACACATAGTATGTGTCCGTGCCACTGGTATCTTTTGTAGAGCGTGCGGTCCAGTCAATCCCAGGTGACTTTACTTACGTATTTTTTATGGTGTCTTTAAAGATCTAGATTTTCTGGACTGTGTTTTCTGTGAACAAACGGAAATGCATAGAATGTACGTGCAAAGCTCGCCAGCCGTAAAAAAATCTCTAGCCAAAATTTTAAAAGTGTTAAAAATGGTGTGTCGTTACTTGCAGATATTGGATCCTGTTTTACGAAAAAAGAAGCTAGAGTAATACTCTAGCTTCTTTTTTCCGTTCTGAATGGTTGCAAAGTACTCCTGTTTTAGAACAATGGAAATTAATTTTGAAAATTTTTTCAATATTTTTTGTTAACTGCATGAGTCATAAAACCAAAATATTAACCGTCTCCCATAAAAGCAACTCTGTCAATGGATGAAAGATTTTGGATTGTACACCTATAAAAATCACAAATACTAGTTAGTATTATACGATATCATACCTCCATACGATTTGGTCCATAAATACCAATGAAACTCTTTTGTGAAGGCTCGCAACCAATGGCAACCAAGCCTCTACCGACTTTCGTTGCACGTTCGTGGACCTGGGGAGAGAAGAAGTAGTTATATTTTATACTTTTGCTTCTTTCGGATCTCTTTTGTATGTTCTTTTATGGAAGGGTGTATCTGCAGTTTACGCTCAAAGATAAATTGATCCCATGACACGTTCAAGGGGATATCTCGTAACCATGACTGAGCTGGCTAGAGGTTTTAAAAGAACTGGGCATGAACACGAAACTTCTGTTGGGTGGAGTGGGAAGGTGTCATCCTCGCCTCCTCGCCCCCACGCACCCTCGTCCCCTCGCCCCCTCGCTTCCTCACCTCCTAACCGCGAGGGGTTTAACTTGAATAGAACTCCCTACCTTTTTTGTTTTTAACCTGTGGCCAGGTTTTTTATTGTTATTATTAGATATTTTTTACAACAGTTGCAAAAAAATAAAATGAAGAAAGAATGGAGAGAAAAAAAAAGAACTCCCCACCTGGTTATACGATAGCCACGTGTATTGTTTTCTTTCTTTGTTCCATGTTCCAAGACAGGGACCATCACCTTGGAAATTAATAACTTGTTTCAAGGATTTGCACATTTAAGGAAATCCGGCTCTCGGAATCCGAGAAATTTATGCTCTTAGAATCCGGAATGCTGCGCTTTGGAATCTGGAATACAATTCCAGAATCCCACTAACGATTGGGATCTGGATTCCCAGTTCCACTGACAAACGATCCTTAATCCAGTAGCTGGAATCCGGAATCAATGACATGGAATCCAGAATTTAGGACTGTCTTGGATTCTCTTACATTTACGCGGAAGGATGTTCATCCCATGATTTCCAAGTACTGTTCTAAGTTGAGAGGATGGAAACTTCCTAAACCTTCTTTGATTTGCAAAGACAGGCAGGTCATTCTGCAATAGGCGGTTTATTTTCGAAAAAAAACAACTTTCTGAAGTGAAACAATCGTCTCTGGAAAATATGGGTAACAAAATAAAGAGCTTTTTTTCCCTACTGGACAGACGCGGGGAGTTGTAATAAGAATTATGGTTCGGAAATAAAGTCTTCGAGAAGGAATTGTGCCACAATGTTCTACAGAAACAGGTAAGCGCTTTTATGCTTGTCATAGGCGTAGCTTATTTGAAAATCACAAGTCAAATCCTCATTTAACAACACTTTAAGTTTGATGTGAATCATAGTCCCGGGGGGAGGGTAATCCCTACAATGACCTATACGGGGAGGTTCCACCCGTAAGAGTTACCTTTTCAGGCTTCAGGTATATGAAAAGTTAAAGGTTTCACCAGCTGATGTAGGGAAGGGTAGGGAAATCAGACATTTCGGTCTGTAGAAAGGCCCCAAAGGGCTAACAGATCACAGATGCTTTTTTTGGCTGCCGAAGGGTGGAGAAAACATTTTAATTTTATCATTTATTCATGTTTAAAAGACAGTGCTTTTTATTACATTTGGAAGGGATACAAGGTTCTAAACGAGGTATCTGAAAGAGATACTATTCGTCAATAAAAGGTCTTTCCTCCTGAAAGAGGTACCTTTTTCAGGCTTCAGGTATATGAAAAGTTAAAGGTTTCAGCAGTTGATGTAGGGAAGGGTACGGAAATCAGACATTTCGGTCTGTAGAAAGGCCCCAAAGGGCTAACAGATCACAGATGCTTTTTTTGGCTGCCGAAGGGTGGAGAAAACATTTTAATTTTGTCATTTATTCATATTTAAAAGACAGTGCTTTTATTACATTTGGAAGGGATGCAAGGTTCTAAACAAGGTATCTGAAAGGGATACTATTCGTCAATAAAAGGTCAAAAATGGTATATAAAAGAGTTAAGGGTTGGACCTCGAGGCGGAGCTCCTAGTATAAAATTTCTTTCAGTACCGACCCCGCGCCACCGATCATAGCTGAAGACAAATAAAGAGAGACCTCACGGCCTCTGCCAAGATTGACGTCACTCTGTCAAATACCTTGTGTCGTTACATGGCCTCGGCACCCCTGACAGTACAGCAAGTGTGACTGAAAAAGCGGGCGGTACTGAATTTTTGTGTTAAAGAAAGAAAACTCGAGCTATTTCAAAAGAGGTAATAATTGTATAAACTTACCAGAGATGCTCTTTCCTCGAAGAAAGCTCTCATACACCGTGGTGACATCAGGATATTGTCGGTCGATGATCTCTGTCGTTAGTGCGCACCTTCGCGCACCGTCAGTACCCTGTGATAATTGATCAAGTGATTCAGAACAGACTTCTCTTTACGTCGCAGTTTATATCATACGGACACCTCTACGATATTTCTGTATTTCTATAAATTTGTTTTTGCAAGCATGCCGGATTTCACGAGATGTGGAAAATCTGGAAGTCAGTCACAAGAGCCAATTGATGACAAATTCGTGTGCTTTACTTTCCAGTCGAGACTTTCACGTAGTTTTTTTCGATCAAATAAATTCAGTCCTATGATAGCCCAGGTGCTAGCTGTTCAAAAGGTAAATAATGGTAATTAGTAAAATCCAACTAGTAGTCTATTATCAATGCTGCGTCCTGATTGGTTGAGCTACTACTAGGCTATATATTATAGCCCACTAGTAGCGAAAAGCGCCGGCTTTTTGGCGGCAAAAAAAGGATTAAAGTCTAGCGTTAACTAGCTAAACTTTTTTTAATCTCAATATTTTTGACCAACTAGTTGGATTTTACTAAAACAATTATCCCTCTCGCCCTCATGGCCTCTGAGTCAATAGCCCATTCGGCCTTTGGCCTCGTGGGCTATTAACTCAGAACCCATTCGGGCTCGACGAATAATTGTTAATTTTACAGAGTGGAGTGCAATATGGTCCTTGAAATGACAAGTATCATTTCAGACCAAAATTGCACGACATGAAGTTCAATTACCACTTTACTACAGCCATTTTGAAATCGCATAATTCAGTCATTAGCAATATTTTATTGATCAAGTTGGCCGGATTGTTGAAAAGCGATAGAAAACAAAAAGGCTTTTACATCTCATTTTGTCCTCGAAACAGAAATGATGCGATATAGAGCAAAAATGGTGCGATTTAAAAAAGAAATGATGCGTTTTAGAACATGAATGATGCCTTTTACAGCAAAAAATAGCTTGATTTGTGAATTAATCACATTGCTGAGAGCCAATCAGATTGCAGGGATTGCTAGTGATTTCAAAATGGATATAATAAATATATAAATCTGCATTATCCTGGATAGCGCAATTGGTTCTCATAATTATATATAATCCTGTGGATAGCGCTCAGCATGCATCTTTTGAACAACCAGGATCTGTTTTCGACGTTCAGTATTGACATAATTCTATTTTACCTCGATCTCAACTGACTGAGGGTGAGGTGGCGGGTCCATTTTCTGTTGTGATCGACTTCTCCAAAAACGAACGATGACAAGAATCGCAAAGCCAGTTATCGCTGTGAAAACAGCTACTGTCCAAGACAAGACTCCTGTGGAAGCAAAACAAGACGAAAAAAACATAATTCAGTAATTCACAATGTCTACGTGAGTCCGTGTAAGTTTGTGGACGCACCGTCCACATGTGACGAAACAACGTTAACCGACCATTGTCAGTAAAAAGGTTTCCAGAGTGGCAATATGGCAATATTCATGTAGTGTTCGTGTGGTTCAAAGCTGTGGTAAACGTCTAAAGTGTGTGTACTTTTAAAACCTTGAAGGAACTGGATCTAGCCGACCTTTGAGAAGCTTACCTTTTGTTGTGGTCTCAAGAACCATGCTGTTCACAGGGACACCCAACGACTGTTTCCTGTAAAATATCTGTTCGGAGAAGCAAATATTGTCTAGAATTTCTATTACTTGAGAACGGCTAAAAATTTCTACATGACCGTTCCATTCATGTACAATTCTTGAAGCTTATCTAATAAATTCCCTGCGATGCGTCTGAAGTTTAATTTTTACATTTCACCCCCCGGTTTAGGCTATTTTTCGTATAAAAGGAAACCTAAAATTTTCGGTTTCAAAAGTGTGATGAAGAGAGGAATCAGGAAAATTCTCACTTTCGTAATACGTTAAATTACACCTAAAATTTTCGGAAAAATAATACTGAAGCCTTGTAATTTCGAAAAGACTCAAGTCCGAACAGATACAAATTTTATAGCGCCGCACAGAATGCTTTTCTATATATCTTAAAGTGCTCTGGATAATCTAAAAAGTGTATTCAATGTGTTTAGGAGGAAACCGTTGTTGGGGGCCCCTGTGTTCAAAGCTGCTTTTAAAACGCATCCCCACAAAACACGGGATCGCGTAACTCCAACCACCAGGCAAAATAGATGTGATGGATTGAGTCATACAATTACCTCTGTGAGAGTATTAAGTCCAAGGGATTGAGAAAATACAAAACAATCATGATAAATATCAACTGACAAATGGTTTTAAAAATAAGCGTTTTATGTTACCGCGTTGCTGGGGAAGATGTGAAGTGGATCAGCTTAGAATAAATCGTTACTGATTTAAGTATAGAAGAATTTCACGGTAATCATGAAGGTTAAAATGCTAAACATTTGCAGTCAATATAAAATGTGGGTAAATTTGCTTAACGATTTCACAAAACAATGAAATGTTTCTTAAAAATTCCCCTCAGTTTTCCTCTTACAGGAAAGCAGGAGCGTTTTCGTTAAAAAATTTCGGTTTCTAAGATATTCTTACGCATTAATTAGAGTCACGCTTACAAATTCCATAAAAATATACTGGATCAACAAGAAAGTTACACATAAGCTCAGATACAAGTGGGCAGAACTGAGATTGTTTCGTTGCCGTTGCTATTGTTGTGTTGTTTTGATCTGTTTGAAACTGTCATCTATCATCGTACCATAACGAAAATAACCAAAATATCGGAATTAAAAAGTAAAATCTCCGAATCTTTTGGACAAGATTTTCAAATTATACGGAATCCGACACGTTTCTAGCCTCCCCGCAGACGTCCTTTGGGGTTCGTTTGTCACGCATTCATTTCTCCTCCCGTGGGGGAGAAATGAATGAGTGACAAACGAACCCCAAAGGACGTCTGCGGGGAGGTTAACACGTTTCACGCCAAATTACGTAACACGAGAACACAGATCGCCACGTGTGATTAAGGCGGGTAATATCCTTTTGTCAGTTTTAACATCGACGAAGCCCCGCGGTCGACATCTGTTCCCGTAGGCAATCATTGAAACTTCAAGAATCAGTAAACACGTCGGTTTGGAATTAATTGCATTAAATTCTGCTTTGTATATTGTTGGGGGCTTGTGTAGCTCGCTTGGCTTTTTAACGAAGAGGACCAAGACTCTGTTCGTTCTCCTTAGACAGCAGTTTATTCTTCAATATATATAGCTTCTGACAACAACTCTACTACTCAACTAACTCTACTAGCTTACACAGCGAATTAAATAACGAAATTGTGGACGTGTTTGGGTTAGCTGACCATGAGACCCTTCCATTGCATATCCTGTCGCTGAACTTGTGAACGATAGAATAGTCTACACTATCGCAATTAACAAGTACTAAAGAGCCAATTGAATGCTAGCGGTAAAACTGCTCGCTAGGACCAATCATACAAAACAGGAACTTCAGTGGAGGCAAAACTCAAGGTCAGCTATAATCCCCGAACATGCTTACTTCAAAGAACTACAACAAGCTTAACAAATCCTTTCGATAGACGATACTTCTCAAAACTCAGGAACTAACCGTGTGGCCTATACATTGAATTTCCTTGGACTATGAACTGTTTATTAAGAAACTAGCGCGTGCTACA